AGAATACTTTTGATGCAACCATTATCTACATAGGATAGCATTACAATATGCTTCTCCTTTTCTTATAAAAAAAAAATGTTGAAACAGTCTTAGTGGTACCTACTTGGATTTCAATACATGCCAACCCTTCAGTACATTCAGACTTACCATTGAAACAAGCTATATTAATCTTAGCACTAGCCAAATCTTTCTTGCTTTTACCAATTTTATGAAAAACAAACAAAGGCATTAGATAAATAATCGACTAATACTTTTCCTAGCTCAAACCCTTCGAAATTCATAGTCACAAAAAGAGGTTTGTTATGTGCATTATTAACATTATAATTTCTTAACAAATGTCGGATGACTAACTGCTCCTGATCATGTGCTACTGTTTTTCTACTAGGTGAACTAGATGATGCTTTATTCAATTCAGCATATATAGTAGGCAATTTATACTTACCTGCAGCTTTTGCCTGATCCACTACATTTTCCCATGAGCTGGTACTAGGTTTCACCACTTTAGCTCTAAACTACACTTGTAAAGTCACGGTATTGCAATCTGCCTCGCAATCCTCCTCTGAATACTTTGACAGAAATTCCAGATCTGATCTTGAAACTTCCAAATCAGGACCTTCTAGATCATACTCTACTAACTCAGATGCAGGTTGATCTGTGGCCATCAGATCCTCACCTAAGCTTTCTTCCTTATGATACTCTAGAGCTTGGTCTTTTTCTGGAATGCTTTCCATCAGCTCCTTCACTATGGGATGATTCTGGATATCATCGCTTGGCAGTTCAGTGGACTTTTCACCATCTATTAATTGCTCAATCGCTATGTTAACTCGAGGTTGAACAATTTGTGATGGAATGGTTTTGAGGACACTATCCTTCAAAGCATCTTCATCCAGTTGAACAGCCATCGCTTGAATCTGGCTGCTCAAACTTCTTCTCTGATCTCGCCTATTTTATTGATTCCCTTTTTTTCCTTAAGCTTCAGAGTATCGCTCTTTATCACTTTGTACATTAACACTCCTTCTGTTCTCCTTTTCATGCTCACATAGTTGTCTTGTTTGGCCATATATAGAAAATTCTCTTTTTCTTCATTCACTTTATGATATCCTAGCCGGTTTTTCATAGAAAGGGTCAAAGTACTGATCTCTGTCCTCTTCTTATGATGAACTCTTTGGTATCTGAGTATCCAATCAGGATCATTTGGGATAGATGGTCTTAGTCCTAACCAATTCAAAATGCACAAGAAAGAAAAAGATTGTGTCGTAAGTTTTTAAGTCCCTCTACTACTTTAACCTGTAGAGGAAACAACTAAATTGCTTCTTTTTAAGAATGTGCCTTCTATTTATAATTTCTTATTTTTTCAAGAGACTTATGAGCCTTTTGACCATTCTTAGAGGACTTGACTTTGTCTTTTTTCCCTTTAGGTTTGAATTTAGCAAGGTTCATCGCATGATATTCTTCCTCTGAAATCCTTACTGCATTCATTTTGATCTTTTTGTTTAGAAACACCTTGAAGGCCAAACATTCACTGGTAGCATGAGCATAACTGAAGTGCCATCTACATATCTTCATAGTCATTGTCTTGGCATTGAGGTGACACAAGTACTCCTTCATTGACTAGCCTCTCATACAATCTGACTACAACAATATCCTCTGTCAGTCTCTTTATGTTATCCTGCACAATATCCATGTCGGCGCTTACCATAAAATAATTCTTTTCATAGACTTCAAACTCTGATGCAGACTCTAACTCTAATTTGCAAGAGCTAACTTTCTTATCAGGAAATTTATGTGTTATTTTATCAATTTCATCCTGATTCTTATTCCTAAATATTACGCAATCTCTAGTCTTATGAGTAAAAGCATCATAACATTTACAGTAGTTCTTTCCTTTAACATCATTAGGACTTCTAGTTTTATGCCTCCCTGCTAAATTAATCTTTTTATGACTCAAAAGCTAATCAAATATTTCATCACATCTCCTTAAGTCGAAGGTGTATTTTCTCTTTTGATCAGATTTCAAATCATTTTTATAAGTAAAATTTTTATTAGTTAGAGGAGGACATTTAAATGAAGGACCCTGTACAAATTCAGCCATTGCCGCCTCATACACATTGTCTTCTTGATCACACTCCTCAGCCATGCTAGCGTAATACTTAAGTTTAGATCTAGACTCTTCTTCTAAGCATCTCTCATAAGCCATTACAGTGCTAGACAAAGCAACGAAATCAGGGAAGTACTGACCCTCAAACTTTTTCCTGATAAGAAAAGTCTAACCCTTTTGAACAATCGACACAAACTCTGATTCAAGTATATTTAAGTGACATCTAGTCTTATCATTCTTAAATCTATGAATGTAATCTCCTAAAAGTTCCTCTTTTTCCTACACAATCTTGGCCAAATCACCTATAGTGACCCCTGCCTCGATTCTAGTGAAATGGTGAAGAAAATATGTTTGCATGTCTCGCCAATTTTGAATTGAATTTGGTGGTAAATGAGTAAACTAGGAAAAGGAAGTACTAGTGAAAGAACTAAGCTGGGGAAAATTCTAAGCTTAAGGAATTCATTATCTGCCACCACTCTACACTGTTAGTTGAATCTGACCAAGTGTTCCTCGACAAACATTTTACTGTCGCCAAAGAAAAGAGGGGAGAATTCAGGAACCTAGAACCCTCTTGGGAATGGATACATCCTATCAATCCATTCAAGATATGAACTACAGGTACCTCTTCTTGCAAATCCACTATTCTACCCCATAGCCCTCTATATCATCTCCTCCATTTTCCTTGTGTAGGGTGAACAGAGTTTTGATATCCACATGGGTATTGGTTATGATTCCCATGTTGTGTAGATGATTGTTGGCCATTCATACTAATAGGTTGAGAGGAGATCCTTTGCGCAGATGCATTAGCTTGTGTGTGGCATGCTGGATTTGGTAGATTTCCAATACAATAGTTGGCATAACTGACACCAATCTCTGCTCCGAAGGGAAGTATATTACCCATTAAAGAGGTTTATGGGTGTATGGTAACCGGTGGAGACAAGGAAGAAGAAGATGGACGTTGGCCATTATGGTTATAGCTTGACTCATAACCTGGCCCTGAACCATTAATCCTCCCTTGACTCCTATACCCCTCATCAGAACCAATAGGAGGGATGTTTCTTGGAATCGTTAGTGGGGGTGGATTTGCATGAGATCTTGTCATACTCTCTACTCTAGGGTATCCCAGACGGACGTTATCCCTTTGATTTACTTCAACAATCCCACTACCTAAAGCAATTAGAACATTCATCAACTTCTCATTAAGTTGGTTATGTTTTTCCATTAAAGGCTCAAGTCTTATAACCACATCGGTTGCTACACTCCATGATAATGCCACGTTAGCAGCGTTCCGAGTATCATTAATATCTAGAATAATTCTATGTACCTTCCTAGTAACCGCTTGTTGAGTTATGGAGTCAAAGTTTCTCAACTCGACAGTTACCACTCTGACGATTTCTTCCGCCATGACACGATAGTAGTTATCAAACTGCTCTCTAATTTTCTTTTAGATCCTCCATCAAACTCTTCACGATCTCCACATATTTAGTGTAAATTGTGTTGAGTAAGTATCTGGTAGGAGATTAGCCCTCTACTCCTTCTAAGGTCGATTCATCTTGCCTTTGTATATGAGGGTCTAACGGTTCAAAAGATTGTGCCATGTGATCTGTGGGCAGTTGATTTTCTAGATCTGGTTGATCCTTTATAATAGTTTCAAGATTGTATTTAGATGAATTAACATCTTCTTAAGTACTTTACGTGTTAAACGCTTAGGAGCCATGGGAAAAACCACCAAATTAACAAAGTTAAATGGATTTTGTCTAGTTTTCTCCCACTGTGGTTGCCAAAAAAATTGTTGAGGTAAATATTGTTCTTTACCAACAAGTTAAATACTCTATCTTGTTCTAGAGTATTAGGGGGCTGCCCCTCGAGTTACCAGTTTCAAAGATTGATAACCATACGCTAACGTAAAACAAAGTAATAAGGAAGTCTTCCCAAAAATAAGGAAAACAAGTTAAATTGGTTAAAGAAATCAGTAGATGAACATATGACAAAAGGTATAAATGCATTCCAATAATTAAAGGATGGAGTCAGGTCTACAATTTTACAAGTTGAAGGAGAGGTTACCTCCATGATCATACAATTGGAAAAGACGAACGATCTTCAATACATGCTATGTGAAAGCTTAAAAGAAATACATTGGTTGTTGTAGATTGATTTGCTGATATCTTCTTTCGATCCTTGCACTTCTATTTATAGACAAAATGGAACGGTTATGGCTAAATTCCATAACTGTTGTACGGTTATGCTTCTTTAGTGCTAACACTTCTTTGAAAATTAAAATCATCCATTAGCCTCTTAATCTGGCCTATAAGTTATTGGGCCTTTACATAATACTAGCCCAGTTGCTGATATGTTTTGACCAATTCAACCCCAAAGGATTTCCGCTGATTCTAGGAACCTCTTAACTCGATCAAAGTCAAGAAAATCAAACAAAAAGTCAAAAACCTAATTTTTGGGTATAACAACTTCATACCATCATCAATTGGATCCTAAATGGTTCAAGAGCATATGTGATTCAACAATCTCATTGATCATGAAAATGGTGAAACTAAGTCCTTTATTTATAGTTGCCTACTTAATTATTTTATTCCTCATATCTTTTAAAATGATCAACTAATTGCTAAAATTTATTGGCGACTCCTTGCTCTGTTTTATTAAATTAAGGTCAAAGCTATACATCCAAATTCACCTGTTTCACATCTTTACAGGTAATTTTACCCTACAAATTGTAATATACACTTTTTTTTTTTTGGTCAAAATATTATCTTATTGTATGTAAGCCCTATATACACAAATCTGAGTTTAACAACCCAATAAGCCCCCTTATGCTCCAATCATTTTAAAACACACCATTTTTGCATTTGGGTACCCATAAACTCAAGGGGAAGTAGTAATGGAAGAATGTTATGTATTTGTAAATCAATAACATTGATTAAAATATTCTAAAAACACATAATAGAGAGAGAAAAGAAGAGAGAGATAAGAAGAGAAAGGTATATAGGTGGACTCCACATATTTTTTTTGTCAGATTGTCTCACGTGATGGGGACCACATGCTGATTGTTCCACTGAAAACTTATGTAGTACTATTGAATCTTCAGTGGTATTATTTATGCATAAATTTAGTACAACTGAATGCATATATAATCATATATAGTTTCATCGTATGTTCAATGGTATTATTTGATCATCCAATAATATCATGATATGTATGCGTTTGTACATATGTGCAATTACATGAATGTCCTTTGTTATGCATTTCTACATTGGTAACATTCCTCCTTTTAAGATCCCTCATAAACTCAATAAAGGCCATCAGATCCACAACCCAAAATGACTACTTTTAGGACACTGATTACGGTTTAATTACTACACATTAGAAAAGATATAGAATATAATTCCTAATCCAAACAATCATATAATCCAAATCTTATTTTAATCAAGGCGTCAAAGCTGACCTTTTCTTAATCTTACTCAGATCATCCCATTTCGAAATAGGAGGAAAGGTGATAGACAATCCAAAATTTCAAACTTTTACATCACCTTAATTGATAGTGACTAAAGAGGGTTCATTTAATCTTCCTCACATAAATGACCCTCTTCTTTGATTTATGCTCTAAAATGAACACTACTACAGTGCTTTTCTTACATCTTTTGACTATTGCAAGTGCTCCTAGAAACATTTTACAACATCACGATGTTGCTCACGCAAGAGCTCATGCTCGAGCCGGTGCCCGATGGGATCTTTACCTCTTATCCCTCATCCGATACCCAATTTCCTTCTTGGATGATGGTTGATGTTTTCTCAAACAATAATTCCGCCGGTAAGATCGATTTCTTCTTTCATTTCATGGTCTATATTGGTTTTGAGTTTTTTTGTTTTTTTTTTTCTTATCGTGTTTAATTCTTGTCATGCTGACAGTGTTATTTAAACTAGCAGCATGACAATTAAATCAAAGCTGACGATTTGTTGTTTTGTTTGTATGTGATTAAAGTCGAAAACGATGAAGCCTTGGGAACCCTTGGCAGAGTTGACGAGCCAACACCCACCGTTTCGCTTCCTGAAGAGCTAGTTCTGCCCTTTTCACCGGTTTGTAACTTTATTGACCAAGTCAACGACGATGGCTCCGGTAACGGTAAGTTTTTCACTTATTTCCAAACTGCTGGTGGTTTCATTTGTGTTACTAATTAAGAAAATAGAAAATATTTTTTTAATTAAAGATTATTATATTCATAGTTTTTCTAATTATGCTTTGATAGGCTATATAAAGTAAACCCTAATATGGGCAAATATGAATCTTTATTCGTCGATCAAATATATTGTCTCCTAGTAAAGCCCACCAACGTGATAGTGATAAAATATGAATATACAAAGTAGATACCAACAAAACACAAAGCAATAGTGATGGACTGATAGATTCATTATATGTTAATGATCAAATTTTTTTAAAGATGTTCTCATCGTATGGTATTGTTTTCCCTCAATTTATTCATTACAAATTTTCTGATGAATTCTTGTTTAGATTTTGTTAGGTGTTTTAGTTGTTTGTAATGAAGAGATTTTAATCAAAACTAGGGCATGGTTGATAATAATTTATTGATTTGCTTCTCTAAAAAAAAGGTTGTTATAGACTTATAGGTTCATAAATTAACATAGATAGAAAATGGTAGGAAAGATTCTCGCTCAGAAAAAAAGTAGAATAGTGGTTTTTTTTTTTTTAATTTTTTTTTTTGGGGTGTGTGTGTAGAATAGAGGATTTTGTAAGCCGAGCTTGTGCAACAAAAAGTAAGTAAAGAACAAAACATGTAAGCGTTTATTCAGTTTTGATTATTAATATTGTGACCAATTATCAATCCATTGGCTTTAATATAATGATCATAGTGGTACAAATTTGACCAAATGTTCTAAAATGTAATAATCAAATTTAATAATGTATTATACTTCCTTCGTTTATTTTTTAAAAGTTACTGTTGGGATTGAGCGAAATTTTAGGAGGTTTAATAAAAAAGAGTGTAAGAAAAAATAGTGGGTTATTATTTTTATTGAAAAGTAAAGTGGTGTGAGAGGGGAGCACAGACCATTGAAAGAGTGAGAAATGATAAAGTAAGGGAAAATGGGGACTATTAGTGGGTAAAGATATATTATTACACTAGATTAGTGTCGGTACAATGCACGATAGTAATAATCTTATTTCCCATGGTTAATTTGTGATATAATATAAAAATGAGGCAAGTTATGTGGAATAAACAAATGTAATAATGCATATAAGAATGATGAAATAATAAGGGAAAAATTATTAATACTACGATTGAGAAAATAAAAATTATTTTTGATCAGTTGTGTTAGAAATATTTAAAAATACTATACATTATATTACCAATTTATGATGCATGTTATTCCCAATAAAACTATACAATGTAGATGTCGTATGACTTTTTACTAATGAATTAATTTAGTTAAAAAAAAATACTATACAATGTTCTTCCAAAAAATAAGCTAAGTAGAATATATATTTTTTTTTAAAAAAATAAAAAATAAAAAAAGAAAACATAAAGCTGACATCGTATATTGTATTGATGGGAAAGTTTTTTTAATAATAGCTTGACATATGTCCAAGATGACCAATGTAAGCATGACCTGTTTTTTAATAACCTTTCATTGAGAGAAAGCTCTTCAAGCGCTTCGACTGATTCATGGTGGATTTACGTGGTTTTCTTCACTAAATCCTCTCATGGCTAGGAAAAAAAAAAAAAGGCAGCTTTCTCCTGCTCCTAAGCCTCAAACACATGAATTACTTGATTTTCTATTCAAATCGAGCTCCGTTTTGGATAATGCGGACTCTGTTCAAATTGAAGGTTTCAGCGACTCCTCGGCTGGGATGACGGCTAGGGTTCCGGCAGCTTCTAGCACACGTGAATCTCCTTCGCTGGGGGTCCGGCAGCGGCTCTTTTGCCCTCGATTGTTTCGCAACTCGACATCCCTGGTAAGTCCTCTAACGTTGTACCAGTAGCTGCGACTTCTTCGATGGTTGATGTCCTAGCTTCAAAATCGGTTCAATTCCTAATAGGTCAGTAGCTAATGATGTTGTTAAGGCTAGTAATAATGCTTTTGTTGATGGAAATGGGGGTTGTTCTTTTAGGTTTGCAGATTATGCAAGTGCCCTAGCTTCAAATTTGCTTAAACCCACTAATTGGTTAGTTGATAATGTTGTTACTAAGGCTAGTACTAATGTTATTGATGATGGAATGGGGGCGGGGAAGCTTTAATGGGAAGTTGAATGCCAAAGGGGCTGTCCTCTAATTCGTGGCTCCTTTGGTGAAAAACGGCAAGCCTATTGCTGTGCTTCCAAAGGGTGAACTTGCTGCAGGTACGAAGAAGTGGAGTAACACTATAATATTGTATGTTGTTGGTTTTATGCCTTCTATTGCTTCTATATATCGTTACTTTGCTCATCAATGGAGTAGTTTTGGTAAACCTCAAATCTTCTGGCATGATTATGGCTATTTCATTGTTTCTTTATCCTCTGCTGATGAGTTGAATGGGATTTTGTGTGCGGGTCCCAATATGGTTCATGGGAGGCCAGCAATTGTTAAGCCTTGGTGAGAAAATTTTGATTTTAGTGTTGAAGTGTTGCGTGTTGTACCTTTGTGGGTGAAAATTCCTAATTTGCCTCTTTGTTGTTGGGGTGTTGAAACTTTGAGTAGAATTGGTAGTCTTCTTGGGGTGCCAATTAGTGCAAATGAATGTACCTCAAGGCAATTAAGAGTGTCCTTTGCTAGGCTTTTGGTAGAGGTTGATGTCACTAAACCTTTACCTAAGTCAGTTTTGGCTGAAAACCCAAATGGTGAATTGGTGGAGCTTTGTGTTGAATTCGAATAGGTCCCCCCGTTTTGTGATCGATAAGTGTAACAAGGTGGGGCATTGTTGCGTGAAGGCTATGGATTCGGGGAAACAAGGTGGTGCCAATCAGAATACTTCTAATGTTCAACATTAGAATACCACTCAAGTTCCTCAAAGTTCCACTCAGGTTACTCAGGAGCAGCATAAGAAGGTTTGGGTGCAAAAAAAGAAGGATAATGTACCTCAAAATCTAGTGGGGAAAACCATTGATAAGGCTCTTAAGAAAAGGAAAGGGGTCGGCTATCTCTAGTATTATTCATAGTCCCAACTCCTTTGTCGTGTTGCAGTATGTCATTGATGCTGAGAATGCTAAGCTTGCTGGACCTAGTGAGGGTGGGCCCCCTTTAGGTCAACGATCATTGTTATTTGGAATATGAGGGGTCTTAATGATCCTACTAAAGTTGCTAATGTTAAGCAACTTATCTCCATGTATAATTGTGATGTTATTGGTTTACTTGAGACAAAAGTGAAAAAGAAAAAAAGCAAAGCTCTCCAAAGGAAAATTCACTCTGGGTTTTCTAATTATGCTTTCGCTCCTAAGGGGACAATTTGGATTGGTTGGAGGAATGATAGAATCTCTATTATATTGTTCAATCTCATGCTCAGTTTATCCATTGCATTCTCTCTTCTATTGATTGTAAAAGAAAGATTGCTTGTACCTTTGTGTATGGATTGCACTCTATCCATGATAGTAAGATGATGTGGGATGCGATTTCTAAGCTTGGGGTTATTTTTATTCCTTGGCTTTATTCTGGGGATTTTAACTCTGTTTTGAATAATGAGGATAGAATTAATGGCAACCCTGTTTCAGATTATGAAACTAGGGATTTTCACAAGTTTCTTGAAGACGTGAATTTGGTTGGAATCAAGACCGAGGGTGTGTTTAATTCATGGTCAAATAATACTCATACCGGCATTTGCACTTATTCTAGAATTGATAGATGGCTTGTGAATTTAGAGTGGTTAGAGTAGTTTGGCAATGTTGAGGCTATCTATTTACCTGCTTCTCTCTCTGATCACTCTCCTTTGCTTTATGATGTTTTTCCTTCCCTACCTGGGAAAGGAAAGCCTTTTCGTTTCTTGAATTGTATGATTACCCATGTTGATTTTCACAAATATATTCAGGATGCTTGGCAAGTTCAAGTTTCAGGTAGCAAAATGGTTAGAGTTTGGCTTAAGCTTAAACTGGTTAAAGCTAAACTCAAGGAGTTAAATTCTAGATCCTTTGGGAATGTTGATGGGAAAATTGATCAAGCATCTGATGAGCTTTGTCACATTCAGAACCAATTAGTTGTGCATTTCAATGATCCCAATTTGGCAATTCGAGAGCATGAGGCTATTCAGAAGCTTAAGTATTGGAGAAATGTTCAAGAGAGCATTTGGAAGCAAAATTCTAGAGTTGAATGGGTTCAACTTGGAGATTCTAATTCCAAGTATTTCTTCTCTGTGATGAAGCATAGGCAAGCAAGGAATAGAATTGATTCTCTTCTTAATGATCATTATATTCTTCTTCGTACTCCCTCGAATATTGAGAAGGCGATTTTGGGCTTTTATAAGTCTTTACTAGGCTCTTGCTCTAATTCTTTAACTGGTGTTAATTTGGCTACTTTGAGATCTGGTAAGCAGCTTTTCCCTTCTTCTCAACTTTCCCTTATTAGTCCTGTTTCTTGTGATGAGATTGATCAGGCTCTTAAGGGTATATCTGATGATAAAGCTCCTAGTATTAATGGTTTTAATGCTAAATTCTTTAATCATGCTTGGGATCTTATTAAGTTTGATATTTATGTTGTGTTCTTGATTTTTTGAACACTGGTGTGATGCCCCTTCAATGGAATTGCACCACTGTTACTTTGGTGCCCAAAGTTCCTAATGCTTCATATGTGAAAGATTTTAGGTCTATTGCTTATTGCTCTGTTCTTTATAAAATTGTGTCTAAAATCATAAGTGCTAGCTTGGGCGGGTCATTGGTGAGGTTGTGGATGATACCCAAGCAGATTTTATTCCTGGGTAGCATATTGGAGATAATATCCTTTTGGCTACTGAGTTAATAAAAGGTTACACCCACAAGTTCATCTCTCCTAGGTGTATGATTAAAGTGGATCTCAAAAACATATGATTCTGTTGAGTGGGGATTCCTTAAGGCAGTGCTTTGTGAGCTTGGCTTTCCTAGCTTTTTTATAAAGTGGATTCTTGGTTGCATCACTACGGTTTCTTTCTCTATTCTTATCAACGATG